CCAACTGCAGAACGGATGACATCAAGCATTATGCCACGAGTGAATGAGATATATATTGACTGACACGACTAGGATCTACAACAATGACACTGGAATGTCATTCAGATTGGAGAAGTGTATTTGGATGGTAACAAAGAGAGGAAAGGTAGTCACAACTGAGGGGACTGCACTAGCAGAAGGCAACATTGCAAACATTGAGGATAGTCCTAAACAGTCAGGTAAATCTGAAGAACAAGATCTGGGAAACGAACACTGTCTTGGAATTTCCTGTTAGTAAAGTCTGCAACGCGGTCAGCTGTGGCCAAAGCTTTTTAATTACAGGATGCAAGAGAGAAAACAGACTGCAAACATCACAGTTATGCAGTCAGGATAGCTCTGCCCTTGAGACGTCGCGCCGCCTCTTTTATACCTTCACACACAACTCCTGGTGCATCACTACAGTTACAACAGCTTCTTGTCTCAACCCTCGCTGGGCAGGGAGCAACTCCTGCTATCCATATTCCAGGAAGCACCTGGAATATGGTTTCCCTGGGAATTTCATCCTTCTATGCCCTAACAGTAAGCAGATAACATAGTGAAACGTAGTTAAGCATAGTTACACCAGGTCATATTGACACACAGACTCACCTAAGAAATACAAAAAGTTCCAAGCACCTACTAATACATATAAGAATGAACTAGAAACTTTCCATCACAACACCTACCCTCTGATGGCTGTTGGATGCCCTGCTGGGAGAATAAGGGACAACTGAATCTTTCTAATTATGTGCAGTACTACTTTAATTAACCCTTGTGTTCGTTTTATATTAAACTATTTTGTGTTCACAGTTAAAAAATGACTGTTTCATTACGACTCATCATAAAAGCTATAATAATAGATATATTTCCTTTCTTGTCATGTTAGATTGTTTTATCAACTAAAGTTTTTGAACTTCTGTTATTTATGATGTATGTATGTCTCATTAATATGACTTTATATGCCTTATATTTGAGTCAAAACACATCATTTCTATTTTGACTATAATAACCAGATCAAACATAGTATACTGTTTATCACAGCTGTCAAAGTGACCAGGAATATTTTAGCTGTGTATGGACCAAATGATTCCAACATTATACTAAAATGACCTCTTTTCAGGAACACCATCTATGGGTGCCTGAAAGATGGGATATAGATGAGTGGCTGGCGCTCCACAAACCTGTCAACATGTAAAATTTATAGAGTAACATGGTGGCCCAAAAAATTGTCCGACTGAACTCTACATCCATAAACTGTTGGTAGATTCATTCTCGGATCTCCACTGAAAAAAAAAAAACCCCTCATGTATGCTTTGATGTCTTTCTGTCTTACCTCCATGTTTACCACTATAGTTTACCATTATTTTCAAATTAGGGTTTCAGCTGAAAGCCCAAGTTGATTCTCAGGTGGGGATAAGTTCCCATTCTTTGACTGTTGACATGGCAACAGATGACAACAGTCGTCATGGCGATCCTCTTCCTCACTGAATTTGTCCTCATCAGTTTTTTCTTGGTCTCGGTTGCATGGATTATATTCCATGCCATCTTCAGCTTCTGACACTTCCTCTCTAATCCATGCTCACCGTGAGTTTCCTGGTCTCTCTCTAGTCATGGGGCAGGCTGTGTGGTGGGCAGTGTAGGACCAAAATACAATACTTGGCACACAGACATTAGACTCAAAATGCAGCTGTATTGCTGGAAAAAACGAAATAACTAAAGATATCAGGAAAAGACTCACTGGCAAAGGAGCATGGATATGGATAACGTAATCGGACAACATGACAAAGAATGAAGGAAAACTGAGGGCTTAAATACACATGGAGTAGCCTTTCCCTGGTGACAGTACTGGGTGTTAAAACTCAAGCAGCTTGACAACATAAGAACAGTGTTGGTCAAGTTACTTGAAAAAAGTAATCAGTAACTAATTACTGATTACTTCCCCCAAAAAGTAATCCCGTTACTTTACTGATTACTTATTTTCAAAAGTAATTAATTACTTAGTTACTTAGTTACTTTTAAAAAACACGATTTACAACCTGAATAGGTGATAAAGCGATAGATCTTTCAGCCCAATTCTACTTTTTCTACATAATCCATCATACAAAATGTAATCAGATGGAAAAGTCTGTTTTTAAAACTTGTTTTATTAGTTTTAATCTTTTAACTTTATGCATCAAGCAAAAATTTAATTATATGCAACATTCTCTGAGTGGAAGAAATTTGTTTAATATTTAAACCTATTTTCTGCACATTCCAGCGCATAAAATATATATTTTTTTGTGTTTACACTCACTCTTTCAAATAGATGCAAGTAAAACACAGCAGAAAATAAATAAAGTCAAAGACTAGCGGTCCTTTTGCTCTATTTTCACCTGTAAAGCAGGAGTGGGGTAGGCGGAGGTTTTCCCTGGTGCACAGTAGCGTTTTTTGATACGGGCGACACGGGCATCGGCAAAAAAAATTTGCTCATACTCATGCTGCCCGACATCAGCCGGCGCATATCGGGAATGGCATAGGCACCGATCGGTTTTCTATCGCCCATTTGCTGGGAGTAAGGGCGCCTTCCGTTTGCAAGGTGCGCCTGCTGCTTGCGGCACAGGGAGGAGAGGGCGGGGGATTCTCTGACTGACTGGAGCTGCATCTAATAACCAACTTGCAAAATAAAACAAAATAAAAACAAAACAACAAACACGAAAACACCAGACATCATGATACAGACGTATAATGTGCACTGATGTTTTTTGGAAACGTCAAAAGTGAGCGCGAGAGCCCTCGGTGCGCCTGCTCGCTGCTGAAGTCAAAGTAAACTTTGTCATCTCCGCTACAGTCCAGTATATGGAGAGACGAGACGAGGTTCCAGTTACAGCAGTGCAAGTAAACAAACAATATATATAAGAAGAGTAAGAAAATAAATATAAACTTTAGGACTCGGGCTAAAGGGATCAATAACAATTTAAAATGTATATTTTACAGTTTGATGATTTAAAGTCTCACACACAACCCGTCGAAAGGGGAGGGGGGGCGGCTGCTTCCAAATAGAACACATTTCATTCATAATATTGTAAATCCAATTCCATTATGTATTCATGATCTGAATCCTGGGTTGTGTGAAATCCCAGAAATACACCTTAGACAAAGTGAATCTGTGAACTAAGGTGTAGGTCTATTAGGTTATGTTTTGGCGATCCTCGAGTTTGTGGATTTGTGTTCATACTGGAGTGCAAAATTAAAACCAATGTAAGATGGACAAGAAAAGTTCAAAGCCATTAGGTGCTCAATTTAGAAAAAAGAGAAAAGAAGAGGAGGAGAAACGAGCAAAAGATGCAGGTAAGCAGATGTGTCATTGGATAATGGCAGGTCATCCTGAAACAATCAGAATCAGAATACTTTATTACTCCCTAAGGAAGTTATGTGGGTTACAGTTGCTCCAAAAAAAAAGGGTAAAAATAGTAACAGACTAAACTCCAAAAAATACATTGGGTTACAGATTTTAATATTAGTTAGTCATTGTCAATTGTTGATTTGTCCTGTTCTCATTGTATGACGAATTATGATGGCTGTTTGGTAGCCGTTTGCATGTAATGCATACCCTCTCTCTCTCTTATGCGTGTGTGTTTCTCTGGTGAAATTCAGTATGGTTCCGACAACAGTTTTATGTTCATGTACAATCCTTAATATGTTTTATGTATGTGTGTGTGTGTGTGGGAGGGGCGGCACCAGAGGGAGTGTTCGCCCGGGGTGCCAAACAGGCTAGGACCGCCACTGCTGGTGCAGGTGTGCTGCAGCGGTCAGTGGAAGGATCCGCGAGTTTCTCTGAATTTCCCATTACGTCGTAGCGCACTTGGTGCTTGCTTGGAAGTTTAGGGGGTTTTTTTTTCGCTGTAAAAAGAAGTTTTCTTCCCACGCACAACGGACGCTAATGTTTTTGTCACTTTTTATGGAATCAACAAGTAAGGTCAGTACTTCCACGCTTTAAACGCTGCACGTTCACACTCTCTCCCGCACTCCATATATGAGCCATTGTTGATCTGCATACAGCTGTTGTCACGAACGTCGCACTCGCTTACGTCACTGTCATGAGACATTTTCGCAAAAAAAATCACGGTTTTAGTAACGCAGTAATGCAGTGTTCCTACGGCAATGTAACAGTAATCTAATTACCGTTTTTGCAATAGTAATCCCTTACTTTACTCGTTACTTGAAAAAAGTAATCGGCTTACGCGTTACTGCCCATCTCTGCATAAGAAGTGCAAGCGGTGTGTTTGTGGTCAGATATGTGGGCGGGGTTTGTTGCAGCAACTCCACCCCAAATCACTACTACACATACTGTGGCAGTAAAAATGCAAGATGGCAGTTTTCTTCACATTAGTACAGAGGGAGGAAGTGGAGCCAGGCCATCCCTCTTTTATATAAGCATAGGCAGAAATGCAGGACCCAAACCAAGCATCCAAAACGTTTTGGCTGTAGACAGTGACTGTTGTTCCTTGCTGACAACCTCCTCCATTCATAATCCATATATATTGCCAACAATCTGAACCAAAATTTTCACATTTGGATTCATCACGGCATCAAACATTTTGATAAAGTTTTTTGTTGTTGTTGTGTTTACCTTAACCTTTTCACCCTATGTCTTTCCTTAAAAATAATTTCTTGACAACCACGCTCCCATCTGACTGTCCAGATGCATCTCTCAGGTGCTGTGTCAGGTCTTTGCTGGGTTTTCTTTCTGTTTTTAGGGATATAACTTTCAAATACTGTTAATCTGTTGTAGATAGATTTTAGACTTCTTGCTTCCTCTTTTCTTCTCCATTTGTTAAATATGTTTTAAAAAAGGGAATAAATAAATAAGCAATTAGCACACAAGTAATGTAATATGTATAAAATTCCCTACTCATGAGCTGTTAATCAGTGACATTACTGTGCTACTTCCTCTAGCCAGACAGACAGGAACTTGGAATAGACGACAAGAGCAGTGCAGATAAAGGAACATGCACCAGAGAGTGCAGCAGAGAAGGAGAGGGAGAGAGGATGTAGCCTAGCTCTAGCCAGAGCAGCATCACCCTGACTAACCGCTGAATCTCAGTAATGCAGCAGAATCAATGGCCCAACTAAAGAAAGGTAAGAATCAAAGGAATGCTGAATATCTCTGACTGTTTTCTGTGGCTGCAGTTGTAGGGCAGATTGCATGCGCATAGTCGAGACAGAAAAAGAGAAGAGAGAACATAACAGATAGTTGTAAATCATATTATACCAAAAGGCTTTAGTATTGTCCTGTCCTTGTGACGCTGTACATTTTGTACCTGTGATGTATGAGTTTTTGCTACACTTGCAGTTTTCTTGCACCAGAGAGCAATTCCTATGTAAAACTACAGCAGCATCAGTGAGCTGTGTCATTGCATCTCGACAGTGTGATCTAACGCCGCAGTACCCACCCCCCACCTCCCCTACATGCTATGCTTCTCTCTGTCACTTCCCCTTTCTCTGTTCCACTAGTTTCTCTGAATGATTATTCTTCTAACTTAATCTTCTCAAGGTAAAACTTGTCAGATGCAGAGGGCTGGGTCACCAATAGATATAGTTCTGCTGTAAATAAAAAATATATTACTTTGCTATGTATAGCTGGAAAGGGCATCTATTCAATCTAGATGGGCAAACAGATGACAAAAGGGGAGGGGGTGATATATTTTACCATGAACCTATTTACTGTTTTTGCTATATTTGCTGATGAACAAGGTGTTTGTCACCTTCAGTGTCAGTCTTGCAATATAACCAGAAAAATCTCTTTCCAAAAGTTCTTGAAGAAAATAACTTTTCTTAAAACAATAAAAGAATAGGAGTCACATTGCTAAATAAAAATGATCCAACCAAGCCCTGAAAAATTTGAGACAAAGTCTGATATCACCACCGGGGGTGGGAGTTGTCACCATAGTAACAGTGGATGAAAAAGCTTTTTGCAGATTGAATGGCAAGGCAAGGCAAGTTTATTTGTATAGCACAATTCAACAACAAGGTGATTCAAAGTGCTTTACAGAGACATTAGAAACAAAAGCAAATAAAAAGCATGATTTAAAATTGATTAAAACAAGCAAACAAACAAACTAACAAACAAACAAAACAGTATATAAAATCAAAACAGATAAAATCAGAACAGTAGATAAAATCAGTAGGTAAATGTAAGTTTTGAAATTTAAGCTTAAAAGTGTGGATTTGTTGCTTTATTCAAATGCAGCTGAGAACAGGTGAGTCTTCAACCTGGATTTGAATAAACTGAGTGTTTCAGCTGATCTGAGGCTTTCTGGGAGTTTGTTCCAGGTATAAGGAGCATAAAAGCTGAATGCAGCTTCTCCGTGTCTGGTTCTGACTCTGGGAACTGATAAAAGACCGGATCCAGATGACCTGAGGGATCTGGAAGGTTCATACTGTGTCAGGAGGTCACTGATGTATTTTGGTCCTAAACCATTCAGAGCTTTATAGACCAGCATCAGAACTTTAAAGTCTATTCTCTGACGGACAAGCAGCCAGTGTAAAGACCTCAGAGCTGGACTGATGTGGTCCACTTTTTTGGTCTTAGTGAGGACTCGAGCAGCAGAGTTCTGAATGAGCTGTAGTTGTCTGACTGATTTTTTTTTTTTTAGGTAGACCTGTAAAGATGCTGTTACAGTAATCAAGCCTACTAAAGATGAATGCATGGACTAGTTTTTCCAGGTCCTGTTGAGACATCAGATCTTTTATCCTTGAAATATTCTTGAGGTGATAGTAAGCTGACTTTGTAATTGTCTTAATGTGTTTTTCTAAGTTTAGGTCTGCATCCATCACTACACCCAAATTTCTCTGTTAAACAGAAGGGGTCCCAAGATGGAACCTTGGGGAACTCCACATGTGATACTTGTCTGCTCAGATGTGAAGTTACCTATTGATACAAAGTATTTCCTGTTTTCTAAGTATGTCTTGAACCAGTTTAGTACAGTTCCTGAAAGACTTGTCCAGTTCTCCAGTCGTTTGAGTAATATGTTGTGGTCAACTGTATCAAATGCTGCACTGAGATCCAGTAAAACTAAATGGAAGTAACATTTTAACTAACCAGCTCTAACTTTTAATACAAATCTATTGCTGTTTTGCTTTTATTCTGTACATGTACATTTGAAACATTTTACAATTCCATGAGCAATTTAGAATCACCGGTCATCTAACATGCATGTCTATGGACTGTGGGAGGAAACTAGAATGGCTAAAGGAAACCTATTACGTACAACCTCCACACAGAGGCCATGTGTGGTCTGAACAAGAAACCAACTTGCAGTAATTTTACCAATGTTAACTGCAGTTCCACTGTGCAGCCATTGTGTACTTTAGGTGCCAAATAGTTGTGTTGTTCAAACCTAATCAAACCATGAAAATTAAAGTCAGAATTTCTTGCCTAAACCTTATAAAACAGCTACAGAGAATAAAAGTCTTGTAGTTATAAAATAGGTCTAAAAGATCTGAAAAGATGTGACAGTTCAGATCCTGAGACTGACACAAAGTCAGAGCTCTATTACAGGGAGTGCAGAATTATTAGGCAAGTTGTATTTTTGAGGAATAATTTTATTATTGAACAACAACCATGTTCTCAATGAACCCAAAAAACTCATTAATATCAAAGCTGAATGTTTTTGGAAGTAGTTTTTAGTTTTAGCTATTTTAGGGGGATATCTGTGTGTGCAGGTGACTATTACTGTGCATAATTATTAGGCAACTTAACAAAAAACAAATATATACCCATTACAATTATTTATTTTTACCAGTGAAACCAATATAACATCTCCACATTCACAAATATACATTTCTGACATTCAAAAACAAAACAAAAACAAATCAGCGACCAATATAGCCACCTTTCTTTGCAAGGACACTCAAAAGCCTGCCATCCATGGATTCTGTCAGTGTTTTGATCTGTTCACCATCAACATTGTGTGCAGCAGCAACCACAGCCTCCCAGACACTGTTCAGAGAGGTGTACTGTTTTCCCTCCTTGTAAATCTCACATTTGATGATGGACCACAGGTTCTCAATGGGGTTCAGATCAGGTGAACAAGGTGGCCATGTCATTAGTTTTTCTTCTTTTATACCCTTTCTTGCCAGCCACGCTGTGGAGTACTTGGACGCGTGTGATGGCGCATTGTCCTGCATGAAAATCATGTTTTTCTTGAAGGATGCAGACTTCTTCCTGTACCACTGCTTGAAGAAGGTGTCTTCCAGAAACTGGCAGTAGGACTGGGAGTTGAGCTTGACTCCATCCTCAACCCGAAAAGGCCCCACAAGCTCATCTTTGATGATACCAGCCCAAACCAGTACTCCACCTCCACCTTGCTGGCGTCTGAGTCGGACTGGAGCTCTCTGCCCTTTACCAATCCAGCCACGGGCCCATCCATCTGGCCCATCAAGACTCACTCTCATTTCATCAGTCCATAAAACCTTAGAAAAACCAGTCTTGAGATATTTCTTGGCCCAGTCTTGACGTTTCAGCTTGTGTGTCTTGTTCAGTGGTGGTCGTCTTTCAGCCTTTCTTACCTTGGCCATGTCTCTGAGTATTGCACACCTTGTGCTTTTGGGCACTCCAGTGATGTTGCAGCTCTGAAATATGGCCAAACTGGTGGCAAGTGGCATCTTGGCAGCTGCACGCTTGACTTTTCTCAGTTCATGGGCAGTTATTTTGCGCCTTGGTTTTTCCACACGCTTCTTGCGACCCTGTTGACTATTTTGAATGAAACGCTTGATTGTTCGATGATCACGCTTCAGAAGCTTTGCAATTTTGAGACTGCTGCATCCCTCTGCAAGATATCTCACTATTTTTGACTTTTCTGAGCCTGTCAAGTCCTTCTTTTGACCCATTTTGCCAAAGGAAAGGACGTTGCCTAATAATTATGCACACCTGATATAGGGTGTTGATGTCATTAGACCACACCCCTTCTCATTACAGAGATGCACATCACCTAATATGCTTAATTGGTAGTAGGCTTTCGAGCCTATACAGCTTGGAGTAAGACAACATGCATGAAGAGGATGATGTGGACAAAATACTCATTTGCCTAATAATTCTGCACTCCCTGTAAGATAAGCATTTGTTTAACCTTAACTAATATTTACTTCATGAATTTCTTCACAAATAAAATTTTAACCATTGAAGAGGAAATAAAATACTCAGTTCAATTCAATTTTATTTATACTCACCATATCACAACAACAGTCGCCTCAAGGTGTTTTATACAGTATTTTAAGTTAAGTTTGGGAACCACTGCCTTAGGCAGTATCATAAGGGATAGAACGCATTGTCACTGCTATGCAGACGACTGTCAGGGTTTCTGGGTCTTTGACCCAGTATTCTTAGTTCATGTTCACTGTTTATATTCTGTCTGCTTCACCTCCTGTTTTATTGTGTTAGCCTTGGTCCATGTGCATTATGTTCCGTCCTCTTCCCGTTTATCATTAGGTCATTATGTTCAGCTGTGTACTCACCAGGTTCTAATCTCTCATCACTCAGCCTGTGTATTTATGTCCCTCAGTTCAACCAGTCCAATGTCGTGTCATTGATGTTATTGTGATGTTGTTCTCGCCGCTGTTAGGTTGTCCTCTGTTCAGTTCCGTCAGGTCAGCCGGTCAGTTGTCAGTCAGTCTTTCATTCATCCATTCAGTCAGTCGTCCAGCCGGCCAGCCGTTTCCTACTTCTGTTCTGTTTGTTCACTCCGTTGACAATAAAACACCAATCTTCACCTACCTGTGAGTCCAGCGTTTGGGTCCTCCTTCTTTCGTCCACGACCTCATCCTGACAACGACAACTTTATCTATTCATGAAGCCAGATAAAACACACCAATTAGTTAAACTGCAGGAATGTCTTAAAGACATAAAGACCTGGATGGCCTCTAACTTTCTGCTTCTTAATTCAGATAAAACTGAAGTTTTTGTACTCAGCCCAGAAAATCTTAGAAATATGGTATCTAACCAGATGCTTACTCTGAATGGCATTACCTTGGTCTCCAGTAACACTGTGGAGTCATTTTTGACTAGGATAAGTCCTTCAATGCACATATTAAACAAATATGTAGAACTGCTTTCTTCCATTTTGCATATTATCTCTAAA